AAAGTCACGTTACATGGTTTTTTTTTTTGAAGTCACGTTATAGGATTATTTTTGGACAACTGTTTTTGTTTTTTAAGATATTTTCCTTTTTAATATTTTTGGCTCTTAAGAAAAATTAGGATATTAAAATATATTGACACATGTCATCATCTGATAAATGATAGCCACATGTCGCGATCTAGTGCTTAAGAATTTTGCCTACGTGTCAAGCTCTCATCGCGCGCATTCTCCTTTATATAATTAGATATGATTAGAATTCTAAACAATAATGGTAAATTGCTATTTCCTAGTGTTTGTTTTTTTAATGATTTTCTTTTAGTCCAACTTACTTTGTTGCTTGATTTTGGTTTTGCTTTTTTTTTTTTTAATTTTCATTTTTGCTTGATATTCTCTTTTATTGTATAGAAACCCCTAAAAAAAGACTAATAAGGATTAAGCAACTAGGGTTTAGTAGTAAAATTTTCATATTTATTTTACTAGTTAAGGATTATATCACTTCTGGTCACAGTTTGTGTCTACTTATGTTAGTACCCGTTATTAAATATCGATTATATAAAAAACGCGAAGTCGAGCGCGTCGATCTACACGCGCGGTAACTTTCTCTCCCAAAAACGAAACCTAAGTTCCTCCGCCGTTCTCCTTCGCTTCGCCTCTCCGGGCTCCAGTTTCGACCGGAACCGCGAGAGGGCTCTCCCTTTCCCTTTTCTGCTACTATCTACGCGATTGATTCGTCTTAGATGTTCTAGATTTTCTCTCGTCTCCGGGGTGAGAGGGTCGGAGAACCACCGTGTGTGATGGCTATGGGAGTCGGATGTGCATAATTGTATTTGTCAATGGTGTTTGGGGATCAGAGAATTCTATGTCGCGGACTCACTTAGAAACAAAGAATGAGAAAATGAATTTTTTATTACTGTTTCTGTTAAACTTTGATTATAAGAGTGTCTCTCTGAAAAAAGTTCTGAAGCCCCTTTTGGGTCAATACAATGAACTATATATAGTTCTATTAAGTAAATTGGGCAACTAATAAAATGGGTTTGGCCCATTAAGCAATATGTCTAATTTAGGCCCATAATTTCATTAAACCCATTTTGATTTTGAGTTTCATGTCATTTTGGGCCTAGATTCAGAGTGGGTCCTTGTAGACTCGATCCGATTTCATCAGGACGATGCAGAGTTGATCTTATCGCTATATCGATCTCATACGGGTGTTTGGATCCTACAACGGCTGCGCCTAAGTGGTTGGATTCTCCCCGTCCTGGCCACTTTGCTTGTCGACAGCGAGTTTCTCCTTCGGGGTCCAGCTAAATCCCATATGTCTCATGCAGCTCGATTGGTGTGGATCTATTTGTAGATCTTTCTCCCCCTGGCGATTCTGGTGAAGGAGATGTCCTTGCGCGACATCGGAGCGGCGTCTGTGGTCGTCGTCTCGCATCTCCTTCACTTTTATGTCTCGCCTGTTTTCCAAGCTTAGGTTTAGTTCTTCCACCACACATCGCTTCTTCAGGTGATTTGGGCTTCTTCTGCTCGGGGACAGCGGGAATTGATTTGAGGAGAGTCGATCTGTCCTCGCTTTGAAGAACAATTGTTGTCTTCCTCGATTTTACCTCCGGCGATTTCCAGTGGCGAGGATAGAGATTAATGCTCCATTCGGATTGGCTCAGCTCTTTCTTCTTGTTGTTGGAACCTCGGTCTCCTGGTCTTCCCTTGTTGACTTGTTTCAGGGCAATGCTTCTCAGTTTTTATTGTTTTGTTCGGCTCTGGACTAGTTGACCTCTGGAGGAGCTTGGTAGGGTGAGCTCGCGCTGATTTCTGATATTGGTTTTGAGGTTTCGTTCTTGTCTTAGCTCATGGATTGTGCAATGAGCCACTCTCACTAGACGCGAGAGGAGTTGGTGATCGAGGGTTGTGTCGTAGTCTCCGTTGACGACTCATTTGTGGGTCTCTCTTGAAAAGCTTCTATTGCTTTGGATCTTGGTAAGTTTGGCTTGTGTGTTTTGCTTCGAAACTTCATCTTTATCATTTGAATTGGGAAGAACAAGAACATCGTCATCACTTCGTATTGCTCCTTAAAATGTGTTTTAGGTCGAGTTACGAACTGAAATTCTTATATGCTTATGCTTTCATGTTTTTTATCCTTCTTTTGCCATAGGATTATGATCTTGATTGTAATCCTAAACCGATTCATTTTTAATGAAATATTTATCACTTAGCAAAAAAAATAATATATATATCGATTATAAGAAAGTTAAAAACCGACACAAATCATCAATAAACCCGACCGAAATGGTTTAACTTGTTTTACTAATAAAGCAAATCGACCCACATTTTGGCGTATCCAATTAAAAAAGGGAAATTGACAAAAATAACACAAAAAATTATAATCTAAAAAATAACCAAAATCACCATATCCAATGATTATGATTTTGCCACATACCCCTCTTTTACTTACTTTTTTTTTTTTGGTTATTTAACAAAATGACCCATTAAAAAACCCTTAGACTACGGATGTTTCCAACGTATGTTTTTGTGTAGCTACGGATTATTTTTTTATTGGGATGTGTAGCAATGTAGTAAATCAAACAAATATGATCAATTATCACTTTTCCTAGAGTATTCGTTGAATTTTTTAAGAACAAAAAAAACTTTTCAAGTGATCTTTGATCGATCCGGAAAAACAAATTACGATCCGTAAGCCATACGATTTGAGGAGGAAGTACCGAAGTAGTATCTCTTAAAAGAATCGAAAGTCTAATTTCTATAACTGAAATGGAATTTGACAGGAGCAAAGTCGAAATAAGTCTCCATTCAAACTTGTATTTCCATTTTCCTCTCTGGCGATGATAATGACAACGCGACAATTATAAATTTTACACAATAAGCTTTAGTTGTTTAAAAGGTCGAGGTGGTTAAATTAGGTTTAGTGGTTTAAAATGAAACCACCTCAAGTCATATAGAGGGTGCGACTAAGATATTCCAAACTGGAATCATATACATATTATATAATCACAGTCAGTAAGCACCTATGTTAGTTTAGTAGCTAAACAATTCTATTTTGTTTTCTAAAGATTTTCCCGGTTTGATTTTTGGTATTTAGCAATAGAACTCGTTTAAAAATAACGAATATGTATAGTCGAATTTTGTTATATTTATGTTAGTTTGAAAACATGTGTTACTACTACTAGAGATAATTTCT